TTCTCTCTCCCTCTCTCTCTCCCTCTCTCCCTGAGCAGACCATGGCGGAGTACAGCTCTCTGCTCAGCGACCTGTCCGACAACATCACCAACGAAGACCTGGAGCAGCTCAAGTCGGCCTGCAAGGAGGACATCCCCGAGGACCAGAGCAACGACATCACCTCGTCCAAGGAGTGGTTCAGCTACCTGGAGAAGAACGACAAGCTGGCCCAGGGTGAGCGGCGCGCACACCGACCAGGTCGTCGGTGGAAAATATCGAGATTTAAACCCCCTCCCCTCGCTCACTCCCCCGTGCAGATAACCTGTCGTACATCGAGCACATCTTCGAGATTTCGCGGCGGCCGGACCTGCTGACGAGGGTGATCGAGTACCGCACCATCGTGCTCAAGATCTCTGAGGACGACGAGATCGACACCAAGCTCACGCGCATCCCCTCGGCCAAGAAATACAAAGGTGACGCGCCACGAAAACGGAGACGGGCAACTGTCTGATTCCTGCACGGATTCTGCTCTAATATTGTTCAGTGTTTCTTTGCCACGACTTTTATTTGTTGCGTCATTTATCTCCTTCTGATGCTTTGCGTTGTTTTAAGAATAGGTTTCTCAAGATTTCTCTCTCTCTCTCTCTCTCTCTCCTAAGACATCATCCGCCAGCCCTCCGAAGATGAGATCATCAAATTGGCTCCTCCCCCTAAAAAGGTGTGAGGTCACGACCCGCAAACCCCTGATCTTAGCGCCTTGATTTCTACACACTCCCGGCTGCCCAATCGACCCGTTTCTGACCCTAACCCCGTCACTCCCCCAGCTCAGCGCCCCCTCTCACACACACACGCACACGCACACACACACACACACACACGCACACACGCACACCAAGCAACGAATCGGATTGCAGCGATGCAGCCTGAAGGGGGGCAGGAAGCTGCGTAGAAAGAGACATGAGAAGAAGAAATCTGGAGACGGATCGACAGTGTGTGTGTGTGTGTGTCTGTGTGTGTGTGTGTGTGTGTGTGTGTGTGTGTGTGTGAAGGGGGATCTCTGTTCGATCTGTGATGCTGTGCTTATGCAACTGTGTGTGTGTGTTTGTGTGTCAGTGAAGTGCATTATAGTTGAGACCATAACTACATCCACCAATCGTTTTCCTCGGTCTCTGAATGTCCGGTAACCATAGAAACAACAGGCCAGATGTTTGAGCTGTGATGCGTGACGACGGTTCAGCAGTGGTTTTCAAGTCATTTTGGATATTCAAAATAGACAAAATGTCCAAACTGATGGAATGAAAATTATTTGGAGATTGTGACGCAGAAACTAAACCATGTAATTACACAGTTTATATTGACCAAACATATTTTAAAACAAAACTTAATTAAAGTTAATACATTAATACACACAAAAGAAAACTGAAACTCACTTAAATGATTTTGGTTCTTTTTTTTATTTTGGGTTTTTTTGTTTAGCTGCTGTAATAGTGCGTTTGTAATGTGAAAGGGACACTTTTTGGGGACATTTGACGGCTGTCTTTTTAAATATGAATCCAAGGAGCCAACAGAAGGTTAGCTGAGCGTAACATAAAGACCGGACAGCTCGCCTTGATTTATTAAATAAAGTTGATGAATTAGTCAGATTTAGACGTTCTATTTGTGTTTGTTGTGGACAGAGCCTTGCTTTCGGGTCCTAACTGTTTCCTGTCTCTATGCTAAGCTAAGCTAACGGGCTCAGATAACCGCCATGCTACCATCTTTGAGCCTCTTTTGGCCGAATCGCCACGAGTCGGCTGTATTTTAAACTCAACTTTAAGTCACTGTTCCTCGGCAAGAGGTTCCGTATGCATTCCCTTTAGAAGAAGTCTATATTTAACGTTGATTTTCATAGGAAAAGCCAATATTTGCCTTTAGCATAGCAGAGTCACTCAGAGGGGAAGGTTGAGTGATTCTTTCTTTACTGTGGATGTTTCCTGTCTGCAGGTTCTCTTCTCACCGATTAGCCCGAAAGCTACAGGTGTAAATATACAAATAATTTATTAGAAGAAAGTATAGCAGAAATAATATATATATATATTGACCTGTTCTGTAGAGGACACTCGCAGCGTTACCGTGGTAACCGAAGGCCCTGATTCTAATCTAATCTGCCGTCTCTCTGTGACAAAGTATATTTTGAATAATCGTACTGGACGTCACATGACCTGTGTGGTAAAACGTTGTGTTGCGTGACGCACACGGAGTCAAACATTTAACTTTCTTTCACCCTTTTTTGTTTTCTTTTCTTTGGGGATTTTTTCCAAAGCAAAGGGGACAAAGCAAAGGCCTCCGGATAAAACAAACCAGGGCAGATGAAAGAATGCAAACACGTCATTGTGAGTCTAGAACCTTTAGAAAGTGCACATGAAGCAGACTCACAACCCTCCGTGCGCCGACATAATAACTAGCAAGACTGTTGAAACCTAAATCCTATAACTGCTCTTTTGAACACTGTGCCCGCATTGACGCCTTAGCAGACTTTGCGTTTTAAATTGAATTCATTCATTGCAGCTCAAGGGGAGCAGAGCGGACGCGTACTAGTGTAGGACCCAAGTCGGCGGACTGTCGCCCATGCAGGGGGTCTTTGAATCCCGCACAGAATTTGCCAACTGCCTGAATAAGGACCTTCGGGGTAGTTTACATGGAGCCTTCGGGGCGAGGCGAGCCCGGGTCATCCAAAGGTCACATGTTGGCGTTCAGCTCACAACAGTCGCTGTAGGTCAAACTGTGTTTGAGTGTCGGATCGATACGACGGCGTCGGAGGTGTTTTTTCGGGGCGGGTCCCTCGCTAGGCCTGACCCCCCCCCCTTCTCCTCCTCCTTGTAGCTTGGCCCCGGCTGCGTTGGTGAAGGAGCCGAGCGCATCGAAGGGAGGCGGTTTGCGCTCACCGCTATGACCTCTGGGTAATGGTCTTTCTCGGCGTGATCATTTGAAGAGCTTCGGCCTAAAAGGCAGGTTTTCATTTGCGGATCGTCGCATGTCTTATTCATTATTTCTTCTGTTTATTAGACGTGCCCTTTGAATAGCAACTCGTGAGTTTAGTCGTACGTGACCAGGTGACTTTTCTTTCATTTCTTATCTCCCTGGGTGTCAGTCGGGTTGATCGTGGATCAACAGTGAACAGTTGTGTGGTAGTTTGTCAGTGGTTTGTTCATAAAATATCTGCAAACATCAAAAAAAGAGCAAGAAGTGTGACCGCGCGCTGCCCTAGATGCTTTTGGGGATTTATATTTTTTACTTTATGTCACCCTCCCTCTAAAGTCAACCCGTCGACGTCACCATAGTAACCAGAGCCCCTCTCCCTCCCTCCCCCCCCGACTCCATCGCCGGGCGGATTACATGTTTGCCACTCGGCACAAATCAACATATCAGCCACTGATGATGTCAAATTCGGATTTCCCTGTACCGAGTACATATCAACTTTGTGAATGCTGCAAAAGTATAAACCTACTAATACACGAACATATGTATTTATACCGGCTTATAACCATTGTATGAGCATAGATGGAGCGGGGGGGCAGCGTTCAGCATGTAATGCTGACAGTCAATTAAAAGTAATTCAATCAGGACAATTGTTTTCCCTTCAGGATGAGACTTTCTTTTTTTATTTTTCATCTTATTAGGTTGTAAATATGTATTTTGAATATATCGCTGTGTTTTCAACTTGATTAATTTATTTAATGGCTCTATATTGTTGTTTTTTAGTATGTTGCTTATCTAACTTTAATCAGACCACGCATCAAACATGTTATAATTCATGTTATTCTCTCCGTTGACGTTTTGCTGCTTTGGCTAAGGTGATGATTTTACAAAAAGAAGAAAAAAAATGTATTCATTTCATTGTATTAACTGACGTGTAACATGTTGTGTTCTACTGTGTCGTGTTTGATCAGATGTGTCGTGGTCACTGCTCGTGAAATGATTTTATTCAGAGAGTTTTCAAATCATGACAAAAAGATAAAAGCGGTCACAAAGTCATAATCTGTCTTTTTTTTTCACGTGAGACATTGGATCAAAAGAAGGAATTTTGAAATCGTGAAGTCTTAAAATGTGTGGAAAGCTCAAGAAACGTTGAATTAGTCTTCACGAACAGATCGCTGGGAGTATTTTATCGTTGTAACCTTCAATACAAAATCAATTATTGACAACCTTTGTCTGAAAAATGAGAAATCCCTCCAGTGCTGCATGGAGCCACAACACGTTCAATATTAAATGGATAAATGAGTCATTATAAAAATACTTTGTCATGTGAATAAATTATATTAAAAAATCAGTTGGCAGGTGATTGGCTGAACCATCCGTCAATCAAACTTAATGAAAAAAGATTTTTTCCGATGTCCCGCCTCCACGTCGCAGACTAAAAACAAGAATGACGTAATCATAAACCTATTGGGCTTAAATACGGCCCTTAAATTAAAAGATTTATTTCTCGGCTCACCTTATGTAGTCAAATAGTTTCTTATTCAACGTTTATCTCTCCAGTATTGGACGCTTGAGGCTCCTTATCTGCTTCACCTGGTGAAGCCGTCTGTGGTTAAATGGCGCAGGGATGATGTGAGGGAGCGGCGTAAGTATAGCAAAGAACAGTTCACCCTGTTCTTCTAAAACATCTCCGCCACGCCTGTGCATGCAGTCAGGTTGGTTTTTAGGGCTGCAGGTCTTGCACAAGGTTGCGATCACTACGTTAGGAATGTTGAATGTCAGATTCGCTTTGTGCAAAGTTGCGCTGCATATAGTTCCATTGTTTTCCTTTGCACGTGTTGACCTCCGTGAGTCATCGCGCACACCCTTCTTGCTTTTCTCCAGAGCTGCTCTGCAAAAATGTGTTGGCTTCATTTTTTGTCACAGTGACTAAACTGTTTGTTGAATACGATGCAGCAAAGTGGTTAAATTCACTTTCTGTTTCTTTAGCGTGCAGCTGGAAACCGCGGCTCGACGCTGTCAGATCAGATTGTTATTCAAGCAAGTGCAGAGATGTGGCTTTTTGTCATGATTTAAATTGACGGGAATTCGGCCGTTGTCATTGTGCTAAAATGAATAAATATTACATATTAAAATATATTTGCTAACCTATGATGTTTGAAGTTGCTTTCTTTCATATACGTTCCAGAAAGAGAGAGAAATGCACTTTATTTGGACGCCACATTTTATTTCTAGAAATCAGGTCGACATTCTTTGGAAAGACACTTTGCTGAGAGTTTCACTGTGGGTAAGAGGATTTCTATTTAACTAATATTCAATTCATTTGTCACGCTGAAAGAAAAATGTATTTACATTTCATGGTATAAACGTCTTGAATCAGTTATTTTGAGCTGTAAGAAATACTACAACAACACTTGTAATGAAGTATTTTAGAGTGTGTCATGCGTACACAGGATAATCTTAAGGTGTCAGCCACAGAGATGTGATCTGATTGGTGAAAGGTCGCTGTGGCCACGCCCCTCCCCGTGTGAATGGCATGCAGCTTTTAGGACATGGTAACCGCACACGGCGGCGTGACGGGACTCGTGCAGCATTTGGGCAGCGGTAAGAGCGCGTTTCAAGTATTCCACGGGTGCAAAAACAGCTCATTCAATGATGATGTACTGTTCTTTTTTCGATCAAGGTGCAAGAAATTAGAAGCCCAAGATGGCGAGTGAACCGTCGCGGCCCGGCGCCCAGAGCGGAACCTTCGAGACCCAGCAGTCCCTGTCGCTGTTGGATGTGCTCTGCGCCAATCAGTTCGAGGGAAAGTCTTTCCCTCCGGAGCTTCTCCGTGAGACGGAGGAAAGCTTTTACAGAGGGGCCCCGCCCAAATGGCTGAACTTCCACATCAGCGAGCAGGGAGGGTCCGGCGGCGCCCGAACGCCCTTCATCGCGCGAGACGGGTACGCCGCGCTGGTGGAGAAAATTCGACACGCGAGGAGTAAACTCCAAGGAACATCCACCGTGAAGCTGCTCCACCAGCCGGGATGCGGCGGCACCACGCTGGCCATGAAGGTGTTGTGGGACCTGAGGAGAGCCTTCAGGTGCGCCGTTTTGACGGGCTCGACCTCCGACGCCGCGAAGGTCGCGGAGGAGGTCGTCGCGCTTTTCACGGCGGGCAGCCGGCGCGGCAACAACACCGTGTTGCTGCTGGTGAATGACGAGACGCTTTTGGAAAACCTGAAAGACGGCGTCAGGGCGAGGATTGCCCAGGGGCCTATTTCCACCTACGTGCCTGTGTTGATTTTACTCAACTGCGTGCGAAAGGACGACGTTCGACAGGGCGACCACGTCGTCCTGCAGAAAGCGCTCTCCGCAGAAGAGAAGCTCAAATTTGACGCAAAAAAGAGAGAACTCTACGAAATGTACGGCGAACGATGCCATCGGTTCCACGGCTTCAACATCCTGCAAACTAATTTCTCCCCGGCTTACGTCGAAGCGGCCTGCTCCGTTTTCAAACCCACCAAAAGGGCCGACAGGCCGCGGAAGACGCAGCTCGCCGCCTTCCTGTCCCTGCTGAACGCCTACGTGCCCGGCTCCTTCCTGCCGGAGTGGCAGTGCCGGGACTTCTTCCAACGCGACGCCGACCGCCGCCGCGGGGACTTTTCCCTGGAGGACCGGATGGAGCCCTTCAGCCACCTGCTCGTCGTGTTCCAGCGAGACGAAAGGGCCGACGGGAAGGTGCGCATGGCCCACCCGCTGATAGCGCGGCGTTGTACCGAGTTGATGGCCGAGTCCGGCGTGACCAGAAGCGACACGGCGATAAACCTGCTGACCCGTCTGTGCAAAGATCAGAGTCCCCCGCATGTGGTTGTCGGTTTTGTCAAAGGGATGCTGACCAAGAGAGGACTAAAACCAAGACGGAGGAATAAAACGCCGGGTCCGGCCAACGCAGCGGACACCCAAGAGGACGAAGAAAGGTACGCAAGGCTCATCCTCGACATCCAGAGGATGGAGAGCAGACGACAGAGCGCGTCGGTTCTAAAGGCGGCGTCAAACCTGTTTGACGGCGATCCGTTTCTCCCGCAGGCGCTCGCTCGTTTTTACTACACGGAGCTGAAAGACTACAACCTGGCCGAGTTGTGGGCCGAGAGGGCAAAGCTGAGAGATCCGCGAAACTCGTTTGTCGCCGACACACTGGGCCAGGTCCACAAGAACCGTTTGAAGAACACGGCGGGATCTCTCGGCCCGCTCGCGGTCCTGCAGCTGGCCTCAAGGGCCATCGAAGCGTTCAAAGATGAAGAAAAACTGGCCGAAAATGAACGCGGGGAGGACATGAGAGGGGACGGCGACACCAGAGTCTCGCAGCATTTCAACATCAGAGGGCAGTTCGGTTATTTGCAGCTCTGCAACGACGTGTTTCACCTTCTGGTCGAGCAGGAGGACACTTGGAGAGAGGTTCTCACCAAGAAAGTGGCCTTGGACGCCGCCCTGGAATCACTCGGAGACGAGCGGCTCATCCGATTCAAGGGTCTGATAGACAGCCTCAGGGGGGAGATTGAGAGAAAATGCGCCTTCTTCAACAAGTATCTGACTTACTCAAAGCCCAAGTTGAAAGATGACCCCGACTACATTTCCGCGGGCAGCTCAGAGTGCTACGAGAACTTTGTCGGAAGCTACCCACCCGAAGATCTCAAGCGAACAGGCGCTGTTCTCATCCAGAGGCTCAAAAAGAAAAAGGTGTACACCTCGGCCGCAGTGCTCTCCTGCCTGGAGAGCGAGTGCAGGGAATCGGACCTCAAAGAAATAACTACATGGTGGGAGGAGATCTTTCGTCAGAAAGAATCCATCAACTACATCGTCTCCCTTGTCGTGCGCACGAACGCGGACGCGGCGTTCCCCTCTGACCGCAAACGTTTGTCTGAACTCAAACAGAAGATGCCCGAGATCCTCAACGACTCGCCCGAGCTCCACATGTTGACCCTGCTCCTCTGCTGGCCCGCGGACGGGGAAGCCAGATGTGCCCTGGACCTCGGGCAATTGGTCCGACGAATGAAGCGCTCGTTCGAAGTTGCGTATGAGATGCACCTGCGATCAAGGCGCCTCCGCCCGCTGTTCTTCGTGGGAAACGGCAAAGGCCTGGACAGGATGGTCCACAGAAAGGTCCTGGAAAACCTGCTGCTCGAGCAAAGCCAGGAGACAAAACAAGACCCCTGGAGCGGAGAGAGGATGTTCCACGATCCCGAGGTCCAAGCGCGCCTCGTCAAGGTGGAAGGGGTGGTGCGCGAATACCGGCTCTTTGCCACCATCGGCGGCGCGGTGGTTGAGTTGGAGGCGAACAACCAGGACAGCCTGTGGAAACCGCGGCGGGTCTCCTTTTACCTCGGCTTCACCATCAGAGGCCCCGTCGCCTTCGCCGTGCAGACGGACAAGAAGGGTAACGCGCATGAGCCTGAGATGCTGAGTGTGGAAAAATGAAAATAGTTGCGTGTGTATTTTAGGATTGAATATCAGAAAATGTTAAAATAAGGAAGAATAGCGGAGTCATTGTTTGGGGAGAGAACGTTACTTTTCTTTTCTAAATCCCATTTTATTATTCTGTGTAGCAGAAGAAAACTCGAGGATGAAAAAAACAGATGTCACTGGAGGTTAGTAATGTGGAAAAAAACGAATTGGATTTCGAAATAACAGTAAATAGTTTTAAAAAAAATGTAAAAAAATAAAATAAAATAAAAAATAGTTAAAATAAAATCAACCAATGTTCTGTTTTTTATTTTTCTGTTCCAGAGTCAGAGTCAGTCCTTCGACATGTGACCGGCCCCGGAGGCAAAGACGCGCTCCGTTAGATCCTCAAGAAGACGACGTGCTGATGAGGCTCAAAAGTAAAGTGATATTAAGCAGTGTGGTGTTTTGGTTTATTAGAACGGGACTTTCATTTTTTTTAATAATTTAAAAAAAGCAAGACTAGCAAGACTGTTGAAACCTGAATCCTATAACTGCTCTTTTGAACACTGTGCCCGCATTGACGCCTTAGCAGACTTTGCGTTTTAACCCCCGAAGAGGAGACGGACACACACACGTCAAGCCAAATAAAAAAAAACGCCTCTCAATTTTAAAGAGAGCGCTTTTATTTTGAAAATTTGCCAAGGGCCTCCGCGTCGGTGTGTCTGTTAATCTTTTCCTGTGTGTTTACAGTAGAGCTCTCATGCTACTGTTTCACGAGCCAAGTGTTAACACTCAACATAAAATCAGGAGTCACAGATCAATAGTGCTCATGTTTCTTTTTTTACTTTGAAAGGAATTTTCCACCCACCGTTGTGCATCCTCTCCTTTAAATTGAATTCATTCATTGCAGCTCAAGGGGAGCAGAGCGGACGCGTACTAGTGTAGGACCCAAGTCGGCGGACTGTCGCCCATGCAGGGGGTCTTTGAATCCCGCACAGAATTTGCCAACTGCCTGAATAAGGACCTTCGGGGTAGTTTACATGGAGCCTTCGGGGCGAGGCGAGCCCGGGTCATCCAAAGGTCACATGTTGGCGTTCAGCTCACAACAGTCGCTGTAGGTCAAACTGTGTTTGAGTGTCGGATCGATACGACGGCGTCGGAGGTGTTTTTTCGGGCCGGGCCCCTCGCTAGGCCTGACCCCCCCCCCTTCTCCTCCTCCTTGTAGCTTGGCCCCGGCTGCGTTGGTGAAGGAGCCGAGCGCATCGAAGGGAGGCGGTTTGCGCTCACCGCTATGACCTCTGGGTAATGGTCTTTCTCGGCGTGATCATTTGAAGAGCTTCGGCCTAAAAGGCAGGTTTTCATTTGCGGATCGTCGCATGTCTTATTCATTATTTCTTCTGTTTATTAGACGTGCCCTTTGAATAGCAACTCGTGAGTTTAGTCGTACGTGACCAGGTGACTTTTCTTTCATTTCTTATCTCCCTGGGTGTCAGTCGGGTTGATCGTGGATCAACAGTGAACAGTTGTGTGGTAGTTTGTCAGTGGTTTGTTCATAAAATATCTGCAAACATCAAAAAAAGAGCAAGAAGTGTGACCGCGCGCTGCCCTAGATGCTTTTGGGGATTTATATTTTTTACTTTATGTCACCCTCCCTCTAAAGTCAACCCGTCGACGTCACCATAGTAACCAGAGCCCCTCTCCCTCCCTCCCCCCCCGACTCCATCGCCGGGCGGATTACATGTTTGCCACTCGGCACAAATCAACATATCAGCCACTGATGATGTCAAATTCGGATTTCCATGTACCGAGTACATATCAACTTTGTGAATGCTGCAAAAGTATAAACCTACTAATACACGTACATATGTATTGATACGGGCTTATAACCATTGTATGAGCATAGATGGAGCGGGGAGCGGGGGGGCAGCGTTCAGCATGTAATGCTGACAGTCAATTAAAAGTAATTCAATCAGGACAATTGTTTTCCCTTCAGGATGAGACTTTCTTATTTTATTTTTCATCTTATTAGGTTGTAAATATGTATTTTGAATATATCGCTGTGTTTTCAACTTGATTAATTTATTTAATGGCTCTATATTGTTGTTTTTTAGTATGTTGCTTATCTAACTTTAATCAGACCACGCATCAAACATGTTATAATTCATGTTATTCTCTCCGTTGACGTTTTGCTGCTTTGGCTAAGGTGATGATTTTACAAAAAGAAGAAAAAAAATGTATTCATTTCATTGTATTAACTGACGTGTAACATGTTGTGTTCTACTGTGTCGTGTTTGATCAGATGTGTCGTGGTCACTGCTCGTGAAATGATTTTATTCAGAGAGTTTTCAAATCATGACAAAAAGATAAAAGCGGTCACAAAGTCATAATCTGTCTTTTTTTTTCACGTGAGACATTGGATCAAAAGAAGGAATTTTGAAATCGTGAAGTCTTAAAATGTGTGGAAAGCTCAAGAAACGTTGAATTAGTCTTCACGAACAGATCGCTGGGAGTATTTTATCGTTGTAACCTTTAATACAAAATCAATTATTGACAACCTTTGTCTGAAAAATGAGAAATCCCTCCAGTGCTGCATGGAGCCACAACACGTTCAATATTAAATGGATAAATGAGTCATTATAAAAATACTTTGTCATGTGAATAAATTCTATTAAAAAATCAGTTGGCAGGTGATTGGCTGAACCATCCGTCAATCAAACTTAACGAAAAAAGATTTTTTCCGATGTCCCGCCTTCACGTCGCAGACTAAAAACAAGAATGACGTAATCATAAACCTATTGGGCTTAAATACAGCCCTTAAATTAAAAGATTTATTTCTCGGCTCACCTTATGTAGTCAAATAGTTTCTTATTCAACGTTTATCTCTCCAGTATTGGACGCTTGAGGCTCCTTATCTGCTTCACCTGGTGAAGGCGTCTGTGGTTAAATGGCGCAGGGATGATGTGAGGGAGCGGCGTAAGTATAGCAAAGAACAGTTCACCCTGTTCTTCTAAAACATCTCCGCCACGCCTGTGCATGCAGTCAGGTTGGTTTTTAGGGCTGCAGGTCTTGCACAAGGTTGCGATCACTACGTTAGGAATGTTGAATGTCAGATTCGCTTTGTGCAAAGTTGCGCTGCATATAGTTCCATTGTTTTCCTTTGCACGTGTTGACCTCCGTGAGTCATCGCGCACACCCTTCTTGCTTTTCTCCAGAGCTGCTCTGCAAAAATGTGTTGGCTTCATTTTTTGTCACAGTGACTAAACTGTTTGTTGAATACGATGCAGCAAAGTGGTTAAATTCACTTTCTGTTTCTTTAGCGTGCAGCTGGAAACCGCGGCTCGACGCTGTCAGATCAGATTGTTATTCAAGCAAGTGCAGAGATGTGGCTTTTTGTCATGATTTAAATTGACGGGAATTCGGCCGTTGTCATTGTGCTAAAATGAATAAATATTACATATTAAAATATATTTGCTAACCTATGATGTTTGAAGTTGCTTTCTTTCATATACGTTCCAGAAAGAGAGAGAAATGCACTTTATTTGGACGCCACATTTTATCTTTAGAAATCAGGTCGACATTCTTTGGAAAGACACTTTGCTGAGAGTTTCACTGTGGGTAAGAGGATTTCTATTTAACTAATATTCAATTCATTTGTCACGCTGAAAGAAAAATGTATTTACATTTCATGGTATAAACGTCTTGAATCAGTTATTTTGAGCTGTAAGAAATACTACAACAACACTTGTAATGAAGTATTTTAGAGTGTGTCATGCGTCCACAGGATAATCTTAAGGTGTCAGCCACAGAGATGTGATCTGATTGGTGAAAGGTCGCTGTGGCCACGCCCCTCCCCGTGTGAATGGCATGCAGCTTTTAGGACATGGTAACCGCACACGGCGGCGTGACGGGACTCGTGCAGCATTTGGGCAGCGGTAAGAGCGCGTTTCAAGTATTCCACGGGTGCAAAAACAGCTCATTCAATGATGATGTACTGTTCTTTTTTCGATCAAGGTGCAAGAAATTAGAAGCCCAAGATGGCGAGTGAACCGTCGCGGCCCGGCGCCCAGAGCGGAACCTTCGAGACCCAGCAGTCCCTGTCGCTGTTGGATGTGCTCTGCGCCAATCAGTTCGAGGGAAAGTCTTTCCCTCCGGAGCTTCTCCGTGAGACGGAGGAAAGCTTTTACAGAGGGGCCCCGCCCAAATGGCTGAACTTCCACATCAGCGAGCAGGGAGGGTCCGGCGGCGCCCGAACGCCCTTCATCGCGCGAGACGGGTACGCCGCGCTGGTGGAGAAAATTCGACACGCGAGGAGTAAACTCCAAGGAACATCCACCGTGAAGCTGCTCCACCAGCCGGGATGCGGCGGCACCACGCTGGCCATGAAGGTGTTGTGGGACCTGAGGAGAGCCTTCAGGTGCGCCGTTTTGACGGGCTCGACCTCCGACGCCGCGAAGGTCGCGGAGGAGGTCGTCGCGCTTTTCACGGCGGGCAGCCGGCGCGGCAACAACACCGTGTTGCTGCTGGTGAATGACGAGACGCTTTTGGAAAACCTGAAAGACGGCGTCAGGGCGAGGATTGCCCAGGGGCCTATTTCCACCTACGTGCCTGTGTTGATTTTACTCAACTGCGTGCGAAAGGACGACGTTCGACAGGGCGACCACGTCGTCCTGCAGAAAGCGCTCTCCGCAGAAGAGAAGCTCAAATTTCACGCAAAAAAGAGAGAACTCTACGAAATGTACGGCGAACGATGCCATCGGTTCCACGGCTTCAACATCCTGCAAACTAATTTCTCCCCGGCTTACGTCGAAGCGGCCTGCTCCGTTTTCAAACCCACCAAAAGGGCCGACAGGCCGCGGAAGACGCAGCTTGCCGCCTTCCTGTCCCCGCTGAACGCCTACGTGCCCGGCTCCTTCCTGCCGGAGTGGCAGTGCCGGGACTTCCTCCAACGCGACGCCGACCGCCGCCGCGGGGACTTTTCCCTGGAGGACCGGATGGAGCCCTTCAGCCACCTGCTCGTCGTGTTCCAGCGAGACGAAAGGGCCGACGGGAAGGTGCGCATGGCCCACCCGCTGATAGCGCGGCGTTGTACCGAGTTGATGGCCGAGTCCGGCGTGACCAGAAGCGACACGGCGAGAAACCTGCTGACCCGTCTGTGCAAAGATCAGAGTCCCCCGCATGTGGTTGTCGGTTTTGTCAAAGGGATGCTGACCAAGAGAGGACTAAAACCAAGACTGAGGAATAAAACGCCGGGTCCGGCCAACGCAGCGGACACCCAAGAGGACGAAGAAAGGTACGCAAGGCTCATCCTCGACATCCAGAGGATGGAGAGCAGACGACAGAGCGCGTCGGTTCTAAAGGCGGCGTCAAACCTGTTTGACGGCGATCCGTTTCTCCCGCAGGCGCTCGCTCGTTTTTACTACACGGAGCTGAAAGACTACAACCTGGCCGAGTTGTGGGCCGAGAGGGCAAAGCTGAGAGATCCGCGAAACTCGTTTGTCGCCGACACACTGGGCCAGGTCCACAAGAACCGTTTGAAGAACACGGCGGGATCTCTCGGCCCGCTCGTGGTCCTGCAGCTGGCCTCAAGGGCCATCGAAGCGTTCAAAGATGAAGAAAAACTGGCCGAAAATGAACGCGGGGAGGACATGAGAGGGGACGGCGACACCAGAGTCTCGCAGCATTTCAACATCAGAGGGCAGTTCGGTTATTTGCAGCTCTGCAACGACGTGTTTCACCTTCTGGTCGAGCAGGAGGACACTTGGAGAGAGGTTCTCACCAAGAAAGTGGCCTTGGACGCCGCCCTGGAATCACTCGGAGACGAGCGGCTCATCCGATTCAAGGGTCTGATAGACAGCCTCAGGGGGGAGATTGAGAGAAAATGCGCCTTCTTCAACAAGTATCTGACTTACTCAAAGCCCAAGTTGAAAGATGACCCCGACTACATTTCCGCGGGCAGCTCAGAGTGCTACGAGAACTTTGTCGGAAGCTACCCACCCGAAGATCTCAAGCGAACAGGCGCTGTTCTCATCCAGAGGCTCAAAAAGAAAAAGGTGTACACCTCGGCCGCAGTGCTCTCCTGCCTGGAGAGCGAGTGCAGGGAATCGGACCTCAAAGAAATAACTACATGGTGGGAGGAGATCTTTCGTCAGAAAGAATCCATCAACTACATCGTCTCCCTTGTCGTGCGCACGAACGCGGACGCGGCCTTCCCCTCTGACCGCAAACGTTTGTCTGAACTCAAACAGAAGATGCCCGAGATCCTCAACGACTCGCCCGAGCTCCACATGTTGACCCTGCTCCTCTGCTGGCCCGCGGACGGGGAAGCCAGATGTGCCCTGGACCTCGGGCAATTGCTCCGACGAATGAAGCGCTCGTTCGAAGTTGCGTATGAGATGCACCTGCGATCAAGGCGCCTCCGCCCGCTGTTCTTCGTGGGAAACGGCAAAGGCCTGGACAGGATGGTCCACAGAAAGGTCCTGGAAAACCTTCTGCTCGAGCAAAGCCAGGAGACAAAACAAGACCCCTGGAGCGGAGAGAGGATTTTCCACGATCCCGAGGTCCAAGCGCGCCTCGTCAAGGTGGAAGGGGTGGTGCGCAACTACCGGCTCTTTGCCACCGTCGGCGGCGCGGTGGTTGAGTTGGAGGCGAACAACCAGGACAGCCTGTGGAGACCGCGGCGGGTCTCCTTTTACCTCGGCTTCACCATCAGAGGCCCCGTCGCCTTCGCCGTGCAGACGGACAAGAAGGGTAACGCGCATGAGCCTGAGATGCTGTGTGAGTGTGGAAAAATGAAAATAGTTGCGTGTGTATTTTAGGATTGAATATCAGAAAATGTTAAAATAAGGAAGAATAGCGGAGTCATTGTTTGGGGAGAGAACGTTACTTTTCTTTTCTAAATCCCATTTCATTATTCTGTGTAGCAGAAGAAAACTCAAGGATGAAAAACACAGATGTCACTGGAGGTTAGTAATGTGGAAAAAAACGAATTGGATTTCGAAATAACAGGAAATAGTTTTTAAAAAAAATGTAAAAAAATGTAAAAAAATAAAATAAAATAAAAAATAGTTAAAATAAAATCAACCAATGTTCTGTTTTTTATTTTTCTGTTCCAGAGTCAGAGTCAGTCCTTCGACATGTGACCGGCCCCGGAGGCAAAGACGCGCTCCGTTAGATCCTCAAGAAGACGACGTGCTGATGAGGCTCAAAAGTAAAGTGATATTAAGCAGTGTGGTGTTTTGGTTTATTAGAACGGGACTTTCATTTTTTTTAATAATTTAAATGCGACGTGTCACAAGGATGTAAAAAACGACAGTCGAAAATTTCGGCAAAGATATTTGTTTGAAGCCTTTGACAGAATTAAATAACCAATAAATGATGAATAAATTAATGCATTTTTGATTTAAAATGATCCATTCAACTAGAGTAGCCTAAAAAAGTGTTTAAGAGTTCTTTGATTTGCTTCGTTTTTAGAGTTATATTTTTGTGTAACGGTTTTATTTTGTACACAGAATTGAATAAATAAGACAATGACTTCAATCAGGAAAATAAGCAGGTTTTTATTTTCACAAAATAATGTAAAACATTAATGTATACAGCTTATTTTCATGCCGATGCATTCCGTTAACTGAATAAATAAATAAACAAGGGGGATCCTCAATAAGTCAACTGAGCGATGAGCCCCTCCAGCTCTGGACGACCTTTGAACCGCGCCTGGAAATGGGCTTCGGTGTGCTGAGCGGAAACACAGAAAGAGGCGAGGTCGTTACGCACTCACGTGTACACAGCGGACATGGAAACAGGTTTTCAAAATCGCTGTAATTATCCCGGCGGTTCACTCCGCGACACCTCTCCAGGAAGTAGACCGACTCACCTCGCTCACAGAGAGCTCAACGCCCTCCGGTTGATTCTGCAGCAGCACGTCGAGGAGGACGGGGCACGCCGCGGCCTCCAGGCTGCTCAGCTGGACCAACAGAGGACAAAGGAACGGGGTCAAACGGGCGGGCGGGCAACCCCCCTTCGGGGGAGGCACTCGGCAGCTCGAACATCCGTACCTGGACGACGCGCTCGTGGGTCTTCAGGACGGCGTCGACGAACATCTTGGTGCCTTGCTCCTGCATCAGCATCACCTCCGTGGTCTTGGTCGGCAGAATGTAACTGAGGGAAAGTGGGCGGAAAAACACGGAAGCGTTGGAGATTCCTGCCGATTTTCGTCCCCACGCGGATGAGGAATGAACATCTCACCTATCGGCCACTTTGATGCCGAGCCGGTTGCAGAGGTTGTGGATGTACTGCGAGTAGTGCTCCACCAGCGTCATGTCGTAACCCGACACCGTCACGTTGAGGCTGCCGTACGCCGTGTCCGTCTCGGCCAGGATCTCCTTCATCTGGAGCTTGTCTTTCTTTTTCTTGGGCTGAAAAGACACGAGACGCCGCGTTTTGGACTCTCGATTCTGCATTAAGAAAACCCGGTAAAATCAGTTGTTAGAAGCGATCGACTTTTTAATCCCTTCTCACCGCTTCCTTCGGTAAAAGATGTCTCCACCTCCCAATCCCGTGCGTTGGCATCGTTCTGTATTGTCTTTCGTTTACAGACGCTGAGAATGAGAAGAAAATGTGTCAATTTAAATAGAGATGTGGTATGAATATGCCATACATTTTATCCCAAAAAGTGATGCATTCGTAATGGTCTTTAAGTACTCACCACAAGCCGGATGCTGCAGTGATGGCGTGGCCCTTCATATAAAATAATACGTGTTAAGAGACGTTATTAATAAGACACATGTCTAAATCAACAAAGCCAATTAGGACCTATTAGAGAAAGCGTTAAGTCTGGATTCTTGTGACCAACCAGTTAATCAAAAATATTAAGTATATTTTACATTAGTTACAGTTATGTTGCTGCCTGATTCTCTGCAGGGAAAGAAGACGACGACGACTCACCGGCATGACGCGAGCGCTCGCTGCAACACGAAGGCCTGGCGCGTGACCTGCAGCAGAAGAAAATCAGCCTTCGACCAGCAAACGCTTCTCAAAAACATCCTACTAGTTTTGAACAGTCAATCACACAGACCTTTGATACGGGAGGACAGCACATGATGATTGACATTTGTTTTTTGCTTGTTTTATTCTTATATTGCAGCAATTCACCAAGTGGCTTCGGATTCTGTTTCTGGTGAAAGTTTGACCTCCACACACATGATTTCAAATGATTAAAATAAAAGTAAACAATTTAACCCTTTTAAAATGTTCCCAATATCCCTCCCAAAAAACTGCAAGGGCCAGTTGCACTACTGGTAAAAAAAAAAAAAAAAACACGTGTTTAACTGGTTTTGTGGATGTTTGCAATGCTACTTAAGTGTATATCAAGTTGTGTTTTAAACGTTTAAAAGTTCAATATTTTGTAAATGATCACTTTAAAGACGAATCATTACAAAGCTACTTCCATACAAAATAAACACCTTTCCAGACAGTACTTTGTGTTTGTGAGAACTCGTGCTCAGGATGATTAATCGAAAAAGAACTCGCATCCCCAAACTAAATGCTGAAGGCTGAACGTCGACTTGGGACCACCGGAACACACAGCGGGGGGTCGTTTGACAACCGGTGACCTCTGCGGATGAGACGTTGACGTTTAGCGGAGAGGAATCCAAAGTGACGTCACCTGGCGAAAGACGGCGTTCATGGCTGCGCTTCTTTGGCGGGAAGCGCGCGCGGCTGCTGCGGTGCGAGTCGGTGAGTCCGCTTACATCCAACTACCATTAAAACGGTATAAACACAAGCACGCTGACTGCTGCTGCTGCCGAGCCCGGAAGTATTCACAGGAAACCGGTCCGTCCTATAATGTGTCCGTGGTCTGGCAGCAGCAGCACGAAGGTTCCGGGACATGGGGAACGCTGGTTTTCTTCACATTTGCGTTAAAGCGACCAGTTGTGTAGAATTGAATGTGTTGCGTATTCCTGCGTGTTATCCGAGGCTTAAAGACTACTGCCATGAAATCATCAGTCCTAAAACCCGTGTATCTATTAATGCTCATAATGCACTAGGTTTGAAGAATTTTCATTCATTTGTTTGGTAAAATCATTAATTTAATTTTCCTAATTGCCTGGTTTCTGACCACATTGGAATTTTCTTGAATCCCATTAGAACTGAAATGAAAGGAAACATTTTTTGGAAAGTTAACAATCTTAACACTCGTTTAACTGTAAATTAAAGTTAATCATGCAAACTTGCATTTGTCATCATTGATAAGGAAAAAAATGTTGCACATTTCAACAGGCTTTATTATATTATTTCAGTTTGGCCCCTCACAAAATCAATTGTATCAAAATCAAATATTAACCGTTGACATTCATATATTTCGGGTTTTACATAGCATTTTTGTAGTAAAGTGCAAAATTCCTCACAGCCGGAAACTGATATTAAGAATAATGTATGAACTGTGCATAGGAACTTTTTTTAAACAATGTATGAACTGCTTTTAAAGCACAACTAGGAAAAGCAAAGCCATCATGTAGCCGTTGTAGACTGTTAACATGTTGTACATTGTTTTTAAAACATTGCATTTCATTTTCTAATGTCATGCCAGCAAACCAAACATTTTAAAGTATCCATACGCTCTCCCACATCCATACTCTTTGGCTTGCATGTTTAACTGTAGCATGAATGAAACAATAACCACAATCCAAAACAGTCCCAATATGTTCGCCTGTTTACGGCTGCAGCTCAAAAGGCTTTCTATAGTGATGGAAAAGTCAAGTTATTCAAACATTTCCTTACCTAATGCTTAGAAAACTACTTCCCAAGCTCTCTTCCTAGCACCTACTATATACAAAATGCACATGGAAAGTTGTCTGAGACAAATTCCATTTTTTTTTCTATCTGCAAAGTGGTAGAAAATGAGGCATCGAAGACATGCAGAGGTTTGCACCGTATTCAAGTTCAGCAGCTTCGCAGTGCAGTTTTAAATCCAGCTGACGGATCTCTGTCATCATCCAGTGTGTCTTCTCAGTGTGTTGTTGGGGGATTTGAGGCAAATTGTGGCAGCTGCTCGAGTCCTGAACTGTACATGAACATTCAAATAGATGAGTGCAACACCGAAAAACAGATGTTGAACCCTAAGCATCTGGCCAAAGTGGTTTAATAGCAGTATACAAATACTCAGTTAAACTTCTTGCTCTTCCTCCTCTTCATCTTCGTCGTCTTCTTCGTCTTCCTCCTCCTCTTCCTCTTCATCATACAGGGTTAGCTCACTGTGGCCTTCCTCCTCCTCCTCCTCCTCTTCCTCCTCGTCGTCGTCGTCCTCGTCGTCCTCCACCTCCCCATCGCTCCTCATTTCCTCCACGCTGCTGTCATCGAGGTCGTCATCGTCCGCAGCCTCTTCCTCATTCTCCTCCTGCTCCTCCTCCTGGATATCTGAAAGATGACCCGATGATAATGGACCTGACAGAATAGAACACATCTGATTGGACATCTAGACAGGTGCTGATGGTATTTTTCCAGCACATTTGAGGCACCTGCATTTGCATCAACGCCTCCTTGTCAAAAATGGTGAGCATTATAAACTGCCTGGTGGTCATAACAGTGCAGAGGATTGTAGGAACCAAGCTCCCGACTCTGTGTACAAGCTGAATATACCCGACCCACCCCCCATAATGATTGATATACCCGACCCACGAAGGCCAGCGGGCAGAAGCAACAGAACTATTCAGACACGCACGTCCGGGCTGAGGAACAGCTTCTTTCCCGGAGATGTAGCCTCCATCGCTTAACGGACATTGTTATAACTTCTGTGTAATCTTATTTTTATGTATATTGTTTGCTGCTATCAAACTCAATTTTGTAATAGTTTTCAGTCACAGCTCACGAGAACAAAGTGACGTTAAAATGAAAATTTTCTTACATAGGGAATTGATGGCAGAAACAATGTGACTTGCTAGTTCTTCATCGAGGAACTTCCTCATCTCTTCTTCCATCATCACACCCAGAACCTCGGTCTCCATGTCCACGTACTCCGGGTAGAACATGTTTTTTCTCAGCTGCTTGCGGCACCTGAAACACACAAATGAAGATTGGATTCTAAATGTCAAGACGTCTTGATTCTTTTCATTTCAACGCGTAATATCGATCGATTGGTTTGTAAACAAAGTTTATTGGTGCCTATTTTAATAATGAATGATTTACGGGTTTCAGATTCACGTTAAACTATTTTCTCACATTTAATATACAAAATAAATTAAAGAATCAATACAGGAAATCATATAAAGGATGTTGAAGCCCTGGTTGAATATCAAAGTGCTACGTACCGTTTTCCTGTTGTCTTGTATGCCTGAAAATGAGACAACATTTTAGTGCACAAATCACAAACAAAAGATTTACATATAAATAACTTGGCGGCAGGTAGCGGTCACGGTTTTTCTCACCGTTCGTTCTGAGGACAATCCTTCTAAACGTATCACAAGAAGAACTACTTCTTTCAAACGGCTTTAAACTCACCAGTAGTGTAACATTGCTTTATGCCATTTGATTAACACAAAGTACACGCAGGCTTCACCCGGTTAACTTTAAATCATGAGCCTGTAAGTCCAGTAACTGGTGCACTTTGTGCCTTACTGTACTTTCAGGCCGGTGACGGCAGTAATCTGAAGTCTATGTAATTTGTCCCTATTGGACCAAAACCGCGTCCCACCTCAATGAAGCGGAAAGAGTCGTTTTCCTGCAGGAGGCCTTCGATGCCGCAGCGGACCTCCTGGAGGCGGGCCTGGTCCTGGCAGATCCTGGAGATGTTCTTCTGAATGGCCGGCCCGTTTGTGTCAAAATGAGTGCGCGCGCAGTCTCGCAATCTGGTGACGAAGCGGTGTACTTTGGCCTTCATCTCCTCGCCCAGCCGGGTCAAGCACTGCTCAGAGTCGTCCAGGAACTTCTAGATGAGGGAAGTGATGAGGAGACGGTTACCGACTTTAGTAGAATCAAGTCATGTTTTATCAGTGGCTTCATTTAAATCTAAAAGTTATTACTTTCATGTCAACTGAATATCTTTTACGTTCATTTTTTTTTTTTTTTTACATTTCATATTTTTATTTTTATTTAATTTGACATATATATATATAATAAATAAATATGAATTTAATATTTAGAGCAGATTTTATAACTTAATGCTCTACTGCAAAGTTAATTTACTTTTACCAATTTAACATAGCGAGGCAGTTACATTTGACAGTGTTTTCACTCCCATATTATATTAATCAAATTAAGTATTATTTAATAGAGTTGTAGAGAGGTGTTTACTTTACTTGCTCAATTTACACAAGTTCTATGTTTTAGATGTCTCCCGTTAACGCACACATGATGCCTCGCAGCATCTTCATGTTGCTGTCCGTGGTGCTGAAAAAGGCTGCAACTCATTTTGTATGTAACAAACTCAGAAAACATTAAATAACAATTTAATCAGAGTTGAAACATTAAAAAAGGTTTGAATCAGCATACGGAGAACACTTGGGGACCCCATTACTTTAACATCTGTTGGTCGGGTTGAAGGAACAATGTGTGCCATCTTACCTTGTTTTGCCTCTCCTTCTCCTTCTGCTCCTGGAGCTTCTTCTCTGCCATGCTGTACTTCCTTTCTATGCTGTACAGCTGCTTATCCAGCGAGCCCTGGAGAACGTGAGGAGCAAAGGGCAAACAGCAGCATCATAAGTCAAACAGTGATTCCATTGCTCACCTCGGTTTGATATCAGCTTGGATTATTCTCATCTCGTCTCATCGTGCCCATAACAGAGACCCGTTTGGCACGTCAAACACAGCCGTTAAATGATGGAGAGTTGAGAGCAAAGTGCACGAGGACAGCAGGAAGAGTCGCAAGTTCAACATTTATTTTAAATTTAGTCTTTAGAAGAAAAACAAACATTAAAAACAGCATTGTAACAACAACATTCATTAATCACCACTGATCGAGATTAACGAAATTCTTAATGTGCGATTAATTGGTTAATTTTTTTTTATCTATTGACATCCCTAATATAAAGACATTAGATCAACACACTTTGCTTAGGGCTTGAAATGAATAAACTAATAAAGAAGTTTGAGTGAAAAGGACATTGGTGACGAGTCGTTTCTGCCGTAGAGGCCCCCACACAACACGTTTCTGGGCTGAATATACTGAGCAATGAACTGGAAACAGCTCAACTTCACACTGTGTTCAGGACAATGAGGCCACAGGAAGTGGATTCAACTGTCCTATAGAAGGACAACAGAGTCATGTGACTGTCATTCACACACACGTCATTCATTCATCGGGATTCCAGACTCATCACACTTTGTGAGTCAAACAATCACAAGGTGGTGAAACCGAATGGACTAAGTTACAAATCCCAGAGTCCAAACATCTTCACTTCTAAATACAACGCGCTTCAAAACAGTGTTATAAAAAATCATAATGCAGCCAGTCTGAGCACAAATATGATGTGGTTAAGTATCCTGCCGTATGATGGGACTGAAAACTGGTTTCTGAGCGAAACATTAGATGGGAAAATGTTCCAAATCATTTCATACAATACGGACTTCCCATGTCTTTGTAAACCCATGATGACAATAAAAAGTGTACCTTTATATCTTTCACTGTGTTTTTCAGAGTCTTGATTGTGTGTCCTGAATGTTGTCCTTCTATATTGCAAGCGTTGCACACGCACACCCTGTCATCCAAACAGTAATATCTGAAGAGGCATAACAAATAAAATTTGGATTTAGATGAACGAAAGATTTTCTTGAAATGCAATCTTGCACAAAGAGGCACTTCAAAAAGGAGGGAAATAATACAACTAAAATATTTGGATTGTGTAAAAATGTGTCTTGTTTGGCGTTGTACAAGTTATTGAAAGTATGCAAAAGAAGTAGCTTGAGCAACGGGCTTGGTGGAACCCTTGAAAACATCAGACATAACCGGATTATCACTGACCCAAGATGAAAGACACATATTTTCAAAAATATATGAATGCAGCAATACAGGCGTGCAAGGGCGTCCCACCTGTAGATCTCATCGTGGTCTGGGCACTTCATCTTCCAGAGGTCGTTCCTCGGTTCGGTCAGCGGATGCTCGCGGAACGCCGGCAGCTCCAGATGTGGTCTCACATGCTCTTGGCACATCGACACCTCACACTTCAGGCAGGTCTTGACGGCGAACACGGACACAGCAGCGGCTTCCCGCTCGTCGCCTCCTTCCTGAGAAACGCTGGCCGCAGACGACCCGTCCGCCACGACACTGATGCCCGACGCCTCGGCGGCGACCGAGGGGCAGTAGTCACACGGCACGGCGAACGGACGTCGGGCTTGCGGCACTGACAGAGGACACGGCACCGGCTCTTTGGATTTCGAAGCTGCGGCGGTCGCTCTGCGCCGGCGCCGGTAGTCATCGGCGATGTTGGAAAGCTTGAAGTTTTTCTGAAAGTTGGTGCCGCACCGGTGGCTGTCGCGGCACTCTGGGCAGCGGAAGCGACCTCGATCCGCTTGCCGCTTGAGGCGGTCCAGGCAGATTTTGCAGAAGTTGTGGCCGCACGGAAGCAGGTGGGGGTCGCGGTACAAGTCCAGGCACACCGGGCAGGTGAGCTCATCTTGGAGGACGCTGGACTGCTCCGACGGGGCCGAGGCCATGTCAGTATTTACACCGCGAAAGAGGATGGTTGGAGAGGGATGGAGAGGACGCGCGGTGTGGAAGGGGGAGAAGAAAAGGGGCCTGCAGGTGTCCTGATGTAGAACTTTCCTCCCCTGTAGATCTCAGGTTGCTAAACGTTCAAGAAAGAAAATGCTCACTTTTTAAAAATGTGACAACAATTTGAAGGACAGATTAATCGTTTGTCATGAAGCAAAATAATCTAAGGACAATGCCATTTGTCAATAAATGGATTTATTGACGTCGTTTCAACCTGCTTTAATTTATAGAATTAAAAATAAAACATTAATATGCAACCAATTAGTTGGTTGATTTATTTTTAAGAAACAAAGCCAAAAATATTTTATTTGTTATTTTATTATATATTTGCCCAACCTTTTGAATATTTACGATTTTTCTCTGTCATTTGAGGTACAGTAGTTTAAAAGATGCACATTGACCAACGTTACATCACCTACGGCTTCGGGAGCGTGTGAATGATCCACCATGTTTTAACTTTCACTGTAGCTTCAGGCAACTTTCTCCCGCCGGCCCGGCGAGGCTCGTTGTAAACAGTCCGTTTAAAGTCCGGTAAGTTGGGCGGTTATTAACCGGTCGAGCCTCGACACGGAGCCGCTGTAAAAACGGCCCGTCCAGCTAGCTCACAGTAACGAAAGGCGCTAGCTAACCGCTCTTCCGGTTAGCTAGCGCCGCACTTAGCGCCGCACTAACCGCCGCCCCCCCGCGCGACGAACTGACGTTAAACGACGCCACGGCGGACGTGCGGGCCGCTTACCTGCCGGGGTCGCGGTGCGTCCTTCCCGCAGAGCCCAAACACCGATTCCAGAGCAGTGAAAGCGCATCCGTATCACGAACCAGGGAGGGGGGGCGAGGCGAATACCGAAGCCGCGGAGCACCTGTCGTGCCGGGGGACCACCGTTAACACGTTACCCGGTAGCTCGGCTGTTTGTGGTTTGTTCTTGTTGTTGTTGTTGCCGTTGTCCCTACCGCAAGTAACGTAACGTTGGTCCTGGTTGGCTTTTCAGGGGGTCCGAGGACACGTTACAGTCACCGGGCGTTTCGTCCGCTATCTGGAGGGTTCGTCGGTTGACAAAAAAAAAAAAAAAAAACAGGACGCGTCGACGCGCACCTGTGCGAACTAACGGCGAATCAACGTTACCCGCCACCGACCGGGGCAGGTTGATGCGGGGGAAATGCTGCTTTCAGGGCCCCTCGGAAACTGCGCTACGCTACATGCAGTGTGTGACCACCGGGGGCGCTGTTTCTCGAATGTTGTCACACGGTGTTTAGTGATATTATGGGGTCGGGGCAAACAATCGTATTGATATTTTTGCCAAAATAACAGCACAAAGCTTTTTTTTTAAATAGTGATTTATGTTAGAATACACACGCATAATACATTTTAAAACAACCAACAACTCCTGAGGAAAATGTAATGTATCTTGGATTGTATTTATATTCAAAATTAGTACAAAAAAGATGATCAGGGGGAAAAAAGTCAGAAATGTGTTATTATTTTTATTTTTATATAACTTTTATAACAATATCAGATTTTTCTCCTAGTTAATATACCCTTAAAGTATGTTCAATCACAGTTAATTAAATTGACCAAATGTAACTCCAATTTGGAAAGAAAATGTTTCATACACCCATCCACCACCCACAGAATTCATTAATGCAAATCAATTAAATCAACAACTCTTTGGCAATGAGATTGAAGATACAACCATCAACTAAAACATTAAAAAATGACAGAAAAACTACATAGTTTGGGGTAAATCTTACAGTATTTCCTTCATGATTCTATCTAATTCAAAGTTGTTGTTGTTTTTTAAGTAGCAGCCCTATCGGTCAGTCCACCACAACACAGAAATATCTCAGCAACTATTGAAAGGGATGCCATGAGGTTTGGTGCAGTCCAAAAGTGTCATCAATCACTGTGCACTGTCCCCACTCTGAAGACGACAGGACCCTGAATGGTGAAGCCAAGATAGAAAAGCGCCGGGCTCAGCGCTGAATCTGGTTCAGCATTGGTTTTAACCTTTATTTTCTTCCCTCGGACATAAACAAGCACTTCCTCTTCTTCATGCTCCTGTGGAGAGTCCGGTAGCACCACCCGGATTGGCAGAAGCATGTCTTGGATTTCCAGGATTCGCCACACATCCCCGTCAATCCATTTGTTATTGAACCGCTCCATCCATTTCTCCCCGGCACCAACCCTTTCATCTAGCTCGTTATTCACCTCGTTTTCCACAATCTTGTCCAACCTTGACTTGTGGATCCACCTACTCAGTCCAGAGCCCTTCCCCAGAAAAAACAGAGGCAGAAGGAAACGGCCTCGATGATACTTGGCATCGGATGTCATGTACGCATTCTCCATGAGTGTGACATAGCGTTGCACCTCGGGGTTAGACAGGACCCCAAGAGACTGTAGTTCTGGCTCTGTGCTTGTTGCTTCTTCTTCGTCGCTGGTGTCAAACTCCTGGGGTTCGTCCTCTGATTCCTCATCCTCTGTGGCCGGTGGCTCCACTTCTTCATCATCCTCATCTTGCACCGTTTCAGGCTCTTCCTCAGGCCAGAACAACAGCACAGCCATGAGGTAAAATTCAGGGGTTTTAGACCCTTTCTCCAACAATCTGGTTATTATTGCTTGGAGTTCGTTCACTGGGGTGAGCTCAGGAGAGTCAGGCATCTCGTTGCCCAAGATGATGTTGGACAGGATGTAACTCTCCGCTGCTTGGACGTCTTCAGGATCGGTCTGGTAGGCGGTCCTCAAATCATCTTGGATTCTCTCCAAATCCGACACTGTTCGCTCGGCCTCCATGAAACCGGCACGCCGTCCCTTTGATGTGAAAAGGCCGCGGTTCAGAGCCTCCAGAAGGCCGGGGAAGCTCTTGGATTCAGCTGCCTTTTCTGTTGTGTAACTTTCGTAACACAGTACAATGTGCTTCCAGAAGAAATCTGGCTCTGTTGATGTCTCGTCGGGCTGGGAGTAGGTTAGGTAACGCTCAAAAAAGTCAAACTTAGCTTTTACTTTCATTTTTAAGTTATGGATGAAACGCCCGCATTTCCGTGAAGGAAGTTTTTGTAAGAGTATCTGTGCCACTTGAATGAAGCCAAAAAGGCCTCGGTTATTGAAGGTTTTGGAAATGCTTATAGCACCGGCCATTTCCACCATCTCCTGGCCCTCCTCTCCATCTGCTTTTTTCTCCACATCTTCAAAGGCTTCCAAGGCCTCGTTCCCCATGCGTATTTTCTCCTCCAGTGTCCTGGCTTCCCTCATCAGACGATTCTTGTACACCTGCCCGAGAGTGTCAGCCACGTAAGAGTTATTTGGAGCTCTTTTAATGGCCGTCTTTGCCCATTTTTCAGCTTGGTTAAACTTATTGGTGCCTCCTCTGATATAATGGAGTCGAGACAGGGTTTGGGGGTAAATGGGGTTTTGTCTCAATTTATCTGATGCAGTTTTTAAGACGGAAACAGAGTTGTAGAAATTCTCTTCATCCTGTATATCCTGAATCAACCTTGAGAACATCTCTTTACCTTTTGCTCCAAATTCTCTCTTTGTCAGTAAATCTTTGATGAATTTGAGCATGCCCGGTTGGGACTCATCTCCACCAAGGGAGATAATCAAATGCTTCACTGTGGTACTCCTGGAAATCCCAAAGTCAGCCAGCAGCTGCACAGACCACTGTGCCCAAACGGGGTCAATCAAACATCTTTGATCCAATGTTTTGATAAAGAAGTTAAAAGGCTCCATTCTTCTTTCAAAGGGGGGGCCTCCGAAGATCGGATCAGGTGGTCCAAGGATCTGTTGGCACTCAGACATGAGGAGGAAGGACTCAGGAAGGTACGTTTTCAACAGCGCCAAAAAAGACAACAGTCGCGTGTTGGTAGCATGTGGATTTCTTCTCAAATGCGCATCAAAAATCCTCCTTAGACGATTATAATTTTTTTTTTCCTCTTCTGTCCACTCCATGATGGTTCGCTTAGACTTCAGGAGGAGGATGCAAATTCTGGTATTTCTGTTTCAAAAAAGTGGACCAGCGGAATTCAAGTACCTGAAGAGGTGACGAAAACAAACTGCATGTTACATTACGTGCATTTATCTGACGCTTTTATCCAAAGCATCTTACAATAAGTGCATTTCATGTTAATCTCTTAATTAGACTTTTCTTTAATGTTTTCACCAGGTGAAGATGCTAATTTGCGCAATGGCTGGTTTATGAGTATATTTCTACAAGGCTATTGCCGTTCAAATCAACCACAGCTGAACTTTGTTGAAGTTGTTCTCTAGGTTTAATTGTTGACTAATAGAATATTGGCATTTTTCCCAGCAGAACTGAGGGTTTTATTCCCGTGTCTCAATGACCTGGAAAGGTTTGTAGCTCATTTAAAACCAATTATTAAATTAAAAATGTGGTCAAATTTAACAGCAATTCATAATAAAACAAATGGTAAATTTAACTTTGTAAAAAATAAATAAATAAATCAATGAAAGCCTGATAATGTAATTTAGGTTTCAGCAGAATAATTCAAAATGTGTTGCATAAATAGATAAAGCAGTGGAAAAAAAAGGTTTCTGGAAATCTTCTCACCTGTTTGGGTTCCAGCAGGTGAATGAATGACAAATGAGCCTGAGGATTTTATTTATGGACAATTTTAAGTCACACCTCCTGCATACTGTACATTCTTGAACTATTAATCTGCCGTGTAACACAAATGCCATCGCATTGTTAAACACAAAGGGCAAGTCTCAAGTTACGTTTACGCAGAAATGAAAGTCAAGTCTTTCCGCCCAGTGACTGCACTTATAGTAACAGAGTATGTTTCCTACAAATGGCTCTCCCCTTTCTACATGCCTTTAACCTTTCAAACAAAAGCGAAATGCTTCAACATTCATCTGTTGACGTCACAACATATTCACAAAGTAGGAAACCAGTTGGTGAAGTCAAACAGAAACCTCCACCATTGTGAAAATGACGTCGCTTGTGTTTCTTTATGAGTACTTTATTTAAATGTGAAGGTTTGGAGATTCGCACAGCGTGCAAACGCAGGCGCGGCGTCCACTTTACCGTAGACTTACACAATTTCCAAAAAGGATAGCGTCACAGTTTCACATCTGCAGTCTATTAAACCACTTCGGTCTTTTCTTTTTCTACTTTTAACCAAGTAGGGTGAAATATTGTGCAACATGAAAAGTTTGCTGACATCTATTAAGCACAAAGGCTAAATAGATGTAAACCAGGTACGTCAATTATATAAAACAAACCCCGGATTTAAACATATGTTTAAATGTACTACATATGTGCTAGTTAATAGCTTTTAGTTTACATTCATCTATTCTACAAAGTTAAAAAACACACCAAAGTTACACAATAGTTTATCTCTCAGTTCTTTGACTATTCACTTTAAGCCCAACCGATGTTCTTTAATCAGAAAGGGCACCTTTGCTAACGCTACATTTAGCACAGTGTGATCATTTAAATGAGCACTGAAAAATGAAAACAAGGTGAATTTGAACATGTTGCTTGAGAAATCTTTTTTTTTCTTCTTTCTTCCACTTTAAAATCCTTTTCAAAATCACTTTCCGCCTAGAAAAAATAATTTGGTTAAATGGTCATTTTTACTGAGGACATATTAGTATCGTACCGCACTTTTAATTCAAATGAATGCAGCAGAGACAGTGTATAGTGATAAAAACTACGATAAGAAAAGAAATAGCTGATAGTGATTTAACTTAAAATCAAGAAGCCTTTCCTGAATGAAAAGCTTTTTAGTCTAAAAAGACATTAAAAAGTGTTGATCAATCAATAATAACACGCTAAATTCAATTCACACACTATTGTATATCAAATTTCAGGTAATTGGTGATTTCAATACATTGCATTACATTTAGCTGATGCTTTTATCCAAAGCGACATACATTGCATTTTTAACCCGTGGCTTTTACATTTTTTCAGATTTGATCTCCTCACAATCGTTACCTCTCTTTGTGGGTTGCGGCTCTTTTCTCAACGTCTTCCAGGTCAACTTGACGTCAGTGACGCCCTGCGACTTAAGAGCTGCCGCAAACTGTCAAACAAGCGAGATGAAATCTGGTTTCCTCAGTGGCGCCGCGCGTAACGTAACATTCAAACATATCTGTGTGCCCCACCTGCCGCAAGAGGTCGTCACTGACGGCCGGGTCCTCCAGGTCGGCGTTACTCATCAGCTTCATCTTCACCGTGGTAGTCCTTCTCTGCACAACTGGGGCAACAATTACTACATGACACGTGCTTCTAGCTCTGAAACTCATCTTGAATGAAACTCGTGATCAAAAACCCTCCATTCAATATTGCATCCTAGTAGTAAATAGTGATAATTGTTTGATGCGTGGGTGTGAATCCACTCGTAACGTCCACGTTGAGGTCTTACCTGGCTGGACGATGGTGGTGGATGCTATTGGTATTCCTAGAAAGAGTACGGAGAGAGGGTTCAGTTACTGAATGAATGAAGCTTCTGAAACATTCCCTCCCTCTGGCAGCGTCCTTTCCTCTTCTTACTGAATCCAGCTGGCGATTTCTAGCAGTACTACTCTTGGGTACTCGAGTACTTTGGGACTCACCTTGGCAGATGAAGTACAACCCGGTGCTGCAGAGGGTGTCGTTCCACCCCCCGTTCAGCATGCTGACGCAGGCCTCGGGTTTGGTGTCGATATCGGGCTGTCCATCCAACCACCTGCTGAAGGAGAAGTTGGTGCCGTCGGACCAATTCCAGGAGTCCCGGTGCAGGCCGATCCAGACCTCCATGTTTTCTTGCAGTATGATCTGGATCTCCTCACTCTCCTTAAGACTCCTCACGCTGGCCAGGTCCGTCTCATGCAGCCTGCAGAACTTCTGAGCCTCCACCCAGCTCATCCCTTCAAATACCAGCGTGTATGGGTCCACACTGCTTGCTACGTGGAGGAGGAAAACGGACAGATTAAGGCCTCCAAAGAACCACTTACAGTGCATCATTTTTATTAGTGTGTCATCACCTGAAGAACTAGAAATGATGGGTTTACACTGCCTTAGAATAATTGCAGATTTAACAAATGAAAAATGTGGCCCCCTGATTTTGTTTTGGCGGGAGGCTCTACCCCCACGCGGCCCTCACCGTTGAAACAAACGAACAGCAGATTGACGAGCGTGCAGCTGTTGTCCCGCCAGAGGCCGCCGGCCGTCATGGAGACGCAGCGTTCGTCCGACCCGTTGTTGTCCGGCTGACCCTGCTGCCAATTCCAAAACTCCTCCTGCGCCCCCGCGGTGACACCTTCGTCCGGCAGAGACCATTTCCAGCCGCTGACGTCGTCATACAGGCCGATCCAAGCGGCGCGTGTGGGATAAGGCTTCATCAGGCTGTTTATACTGGTGATGTTCTCTTGAGTAGTTATGGTGGCCAGGCCTTGGTAGTGGTCACTGCAGTAGCTCGAGGCAGTCATCCAGTCATATTCCCCTTTCATGAGGATGTACTGGTAGTCAGAGACAGTTTGGGGGGAAAACAAGGTCCCACTTAGCTTCACTCCATCCGTTTTAGCTGAGCTACTCTTACCCGCCTGGTGAGCGACCTGCAGCAGCACACAGACGCTCCCTTTGGATGGAGACAAAAGTGAGAAACACATGCGCACAAAAACAAAGCACAGAGCTTCCTGAACCAATAATCACAATGTTCAACTTTTGTTTGCCCTTAAATGTTATTTGAGGGAAGAGTACAAACCAAAGAAAAGTAGTTTCTTCCATCCTTCATCCATGATGTGCTGCTGTGAGAAATAAATACAAAGACAAATGCACTTGTATTTGTACCTGATGGCACTGATTTAAATGTGGCATTACTTCCCCTTTGGATTCTTAATGGCCCGTGACCACAAGTAAGGGGTTGTATTGTTGCACTGCGGCATTTGCATGACGCCCGGACGGCACATTTGTTTCTCGGAGCACCTGCGTCCGTTTGCACAGTTCATCAGACAAAAACATTTGCATGGTCTTTTCCCTGGAATACGAAAGCCTTGAACACCAGTTTGAGTATTTTTGCACAAAATATGAAATGAAATGTTTCATTTTCAAAGGTTTTATTCATGTTTAAGAATCCTTCATTCATTCCTGCCTGTGAGCAGCATTTAGAAAAGTGGTCAAACCTTTAATGACCAAAATTAGGGGACACTCCAAAAAACTAATATATATTTTAATTTGGTGTTTGGTTTAAATAATTTAACATACTTAAAATATTTTAAAGTAACACACTGCTGCAGCTCTCAGGAGGAAAACAAAACATTCAAAACAAAGTTCATTTTAATTTTATTGCAAAAACAAGATTTTCAGAATCAACAGTACAACAAACCTACTCAAAATTAACAAAAAGATCAGAGGACGAGTGTGAGGGAGGCGACGTGTGTGTCTGCGCGAAGGTTTACAAACTATTACAAAAAAAAACTATCGGCCCCCAATCAATAAAAGAATATGTTCAATCTTATTACAACGGAACAAACACGGAGGAAAAGACGCCGGGAAGTGAAACAAAGACACCGGAGGTGTAGAGTCTCAGTTTTTATCCAAAACCAGATTATTTTATGTCTTTTCTTCATCAGAAACTAATCGGTCTCAAAAAAGGACAAAAAAAAAAAAAAATGTTGGCAATAAAACCCCATTTGAACATGCGTGTGCGCACACACACACACACACACACACACACACCCTGATGGATTGATGGATGGAGAATTGAAACAAAACCCAAGTCAAGGGGTGGGGGGGGGGGGTCTACGTCTATGTACACATGGGGGCAGTTTGTCTTCAGTGTACGAGTCACAAGAGCCAGTTGGGGTCGAGGGAGGGGTCGACTAGGTTTGGCAGTACGTGTGTGTGTGTGTGTGTGTGTGTGTGTGTGTGTGTGTGTGTGTGTGTGTGAGAGAAATAATCATACTAACGCATTTTTTTGTAACGCACTTTTAATTCCAACGAATGCAGCAGAGACAGTGTATAGTAATAAAAACTACAATAAGAAAATAAATAGCTGATAGTGATTTAACTCAAAAAGGCTTTCCTGAATGAAAAGCCTTTTAGTCTGAAAAGACAAACGTCAATCAAATCAATTGGGAACTCAATGACAATCTAGTAAAAACTTGCATGAAACCAATTCAAATAATAACACGCTAAATTCAATTCACACACAATTGTACATCAAATTTCAGGTAATTGGTGATTTCAGATTTGATTGCTGAAAGGTGGTGAAGAGGAAAGAAAAAGGTTAAAGAAAAACTGACGCCATCGTCGCTGTTTCAAATCTTCCGTTTTAAGATTTTAGTTTATTATCTGTCCACACGTATCTGTTGATGAAAAAACAAAGGAATTGAATCAGGATGAAAGGTGCAGAATTAAAAAATAAAAACACGACACGCATCTGTAATAGAATCCAACCAGTCGTCCGTGTCAGAACGCCTTCGCTGGAGAATTACGTGTTCAGATAAATGTTGTTTGCTCTCCTCACAATCGTTACCTCTCTTTGTGGTTTGCGGCTCTTTCCTCAACGTCTTCCAGGTCAACTTGACGTCAGTGACGCCCTGCGACTTAAGAGCTGCCGCAAACTGTCAAACAAGCGAGATGAAATCTGTTTTCCTCAGTGGCGCCGCGCGTAACGTAACATTCAAACATATCTGTGTGCCCCACCTGCCGCAAGAGGTCGTCACTGACGGCCGGGTCCTCCAGGTCGGCGTTACTCATCAGCTTCATCTTCACCGTGGTAGTCCTTCTCTGCACAACTGGGGCAACAATTACTACATGACACGTGCTTCTAGCTCTGAAACTCATCTTGAAGGAAACTCGTGATCAAAAACCCTCCATTCATTTGTGAATATTGCATCCTAGTAGTAAATAGTGATAATTGTTTGATGCGTGGGTGTGAATCCACTCGTAACGTCCACGTTGAGGTCTTACCTGGCTGGACGATGGTGGTGGATGCTATTGGTATTCCTAGAAAGAGTGCGGAGAGAGGGTTCAGTTACTGAATGAATGAAGCTTCTGAAACATTCCCTCCCTCTGGCAGCGTCCTTTCCTCTTCTTACTGAATCCAGCTGGCGATTTCTAGCGGTACTACTCTTGGGTACTCGAGTACTTTGGGACTCACCTTGGCAGATGAAGTACAACCCGGTGCTGCAGAGGGTGTCGTTCCACCCCCCGTTCAGCATGCTGACGCAGGCCTCGGGGTTGACGTCATTATCGGGCTGTCCATCCGACCAGCTGCTGAAGGAGAAGTTGGTGCCGTCGGACCAATTCCAGGAGTCCCGGTGCAGACCGATCCAGACCTCCATGTTTTTTTGCAGTATGTTCTGGATCTCCTCACTCTCCTTAAGACTCCTCACGCTGGCCAGGTCCGTCTCATGCAGCCTGCAGAACTTCTGAGCCTCCACCCAGCTCATCCCTTCAAATACCAGCGTGTATGGGTTCACACTGCTTGCTACGTGGAGGAGGAAAACGGACAGATTATGGCCTCCAAAGAACCACTTACAGTGCATCATTTTTATTAGTGTGTCATCACCTGAAAAACTAGAAATGATTAGTTTACACTGCCTTAGAATAATTGCAGATTTAACAAATGAAAAATGTAGCCCCCTGATTTTGTTTTGGCGGGAGGCTCTACCCCCACGCGGCCCTCACCGTTGAAACAAACGAACGGCAGATTGACGAGCGTGCAGCTGTTGTCCCGCCAGAGGCCGCCGGCCGTCATGGAGACGCAGCGTTCGTCCGACCCGTTGTTGTCCGGCTGACCCTGCTGCCAATTCCAAAACTCCTTCTGCGCCCCCGCGGTGACACCTTCGTCCGGCAGAGACCATTTCCAGCCGCTGACGTCGTCATACAGGCCGATCCAAGCGGCGCGTGTGGGATAAGCCTTCATCAGGCTGTTTATTCTGGTGATGTTCTCTTGAGTAGTTATGGTGGCCAGGCCTTGGTAGTGCTCACTGCAGTAGCTCGAGGCAGTCATCCAGTCATATTCCACTTTCATGAGGATGTACTGGAAGTCAGAGACAGTTTGGGGGGAAAACAAGGTCCCACTTAGCTTCACTCCATCCGTTTTAGCTGAGCTACTCTTACCCGCCTGGTGAGCGACCTGCAGCAGCACACAGACGCTCCCTTTGGATGGAGACAAAAGTGAGAAACACATGCGCACACAAACAAAGCACAGAGCTTCCTGACCCAATAATCACAATGTTCAACTTTTGTTTGCCCTTAAATGTCATTTGAGGGAAGAGTACAAACCAAAGAAAAGTAGTTTCTTCCAGCCTCCATCCATGATGTGCTGCTGTGAGAAATAAATACAACAACAAATGCACTTGTATTTGTACCTGATGGCACTGATTTAAATGTGGCATTACTTCCCCTTTGGATTCTTAATGGCCCGTGACCACAAGTAAGGGGTTGTATTCTTTTCTTGGTGCACCTTTAATTTGGTGAGATACTTAGCAGAGCTTCCAGCGAGGGGGTGTTTGCATGATCCGACGATGTGCGCGACTGCTCTCGAGTCTTTGTGAGGCGCAACGAGAGGTTTACACAAATGCACCGAGTCGAGCATGTCGACAAAACTTCACGTGTGATTGTAGAGAAGATTCTTGTACATTTGGGTTTGCATGAAGCCCGGACAGCACATTTGTTTCTCAGAGCAGCTGCGTCCCTTTGCACAGTTCATCAGACAAAAACATTTACATGGTGTTTTCCCTGGAATACGAAAGTCCTGAACACCAGTTTAAGAGGTATTTTTGCACAAAATACGAAATGGAATGTTTCATTTAACGTGTTGCCCAGAAGTCAACTTTTTTATGGAGCCAATCTGTGTGATTCTTAAAGATGATCCATTAATAAAAAGGTTTTATTGATGTGAGGATGCCAAACAAAAGTGTTTAAGAATCCTTTATTCATTCCGGCCTGTGAGCAGCATTAAGAAAAGTGATCAAACCTTGAACGACCAAAATTAGTGGACACTCCAAAAAAGCAAAAATATATATTTTAATTTGGTAGTAAAATTAAAGAAAAAAGAAAGTGTGCGGGATGTGGAGCGTTACCAGTTAGATCTGGCGGGGCTTACCTCTACGCACAGCCTCGGCTCTGGAACCACACTCCTGGATTGGGGGTGGACTCTACTCCGGAGTGGCCCATGGTGTGAGGCACCAGGCGGGTGTGGGGATACTCATAAGTCCCCGGCTGAGTGCTGCTACATTGGAGTTTACCCCGGTGGACAAAAGGGTCGCCTCCCTACGCCTTCGGGTGGTGGACTGTTGTCTGTGCATATGCACCAAACAGCAGCTCAGAGTATTCGGCCTTTTTGGAGACCCTGAATGGAGTCCTGCAAGGGGCTCCATTAGGGGACTCCATAGTCCTACTGGGAGACTTCAATGCGCACGTGGGCGACGATGGAGATAACTGGAGAGGCGTGATTGGGAGGAATGGCCTCCCTGATCTGAACCCGAGCGGTTGTTTGTTACTGGACTTCTGTGCCAGTCACGGATTATCCATAACAAACACCATGTTCGAACACGAGGATGTTCATAAGTTTACGTGGTACCAGAACATCCTAGGCCAAAGATCAATGATCGATTTTGGAATCGTATCGTCTGATCTGAGGCTGCATGTTCTGGACACTCGGGTAAAGAGAGGGGCAGAGCTGTCAACTGATCACCATCTGGTTGTGAGCTGGGTCAGAGGATGGGGGAAGACTCGGGACAGCGTGTAGTGCGGGTGAACTGGGAACGTATGGTCCAAAAGACTTTAAACTCACACCTCCGGCGGAGCTTCTCTCACATTCCTGTGGAGGTAGGGGACATTGAACCAGAATGGTGTATGTTCAAAACCTCCATTGCTGAAGCCGCGGCAGTGAGTTGTGGCCTCAAGGTCTTAGGTACATTAAGGGGCGGTAACCCTCAAACCCCGTGGTGGACACCGGTGGTCAGGGATATCCGGTGGGACTCCGGAGGCAGTTGCAGTGACAGACTCGAAGGGCAGCAGCCTCTGCCGTGATGGAGGCAAAGCAGCTAGTATGGGAGTTCGGGGTAAGGATTTTTGGTCGGCACCAAAGTGCTTCTGGAAGACCATCCAGCACCTCAGGAGGGGGAAACGGGGAACCATCCAAGCTGTGTACAGTATGGATGGGACCCTGTTGACCGCGACTGAGGAGGTTGTCGGGCGGTGGAACACTTTTAGGAACTCCTGAATCCAACTACTACGCCATCTTTGGTACAGGCGGCGCTGACGGCCGAGGAGGGATCATCGTCAATTAGCCTGGTGGAGGTCACTAAGATAGTCAAACAACTCCGCAGTGGCAAAGCCCCAGGGATTGTCCGGAGATGCTAAAAGCATCTGTCTTGGATGAAACGCCTCTTTAACATTGCGTGGAAGTCTGGGACAGTGCCAAAAGAGTGGCAGACTGGGGTGGTGGTACCACTCTTCAAAAAGGGGGACCAGAGAGTGTGTGCCAATTACAGGGGTATCACACTACTCAGCCCCCCGGGTAAAGTCTACTCCAAATTGCTGGAAAGGAGGGTTCGGCCGATAGTCGAACCAAAGATTGAAGAGAAACAATGCGGTTTTCGTCCTGGTCGTGGAACAACGGACCAGCTCTTTACTGTTTCCAGGATCATGGAGGGGGCTTGGGAGTATGCTCATCCAGTCTACATGTGTTTGACTTGGAGAAGGCGTATGACCGGGTCCCCCGAGAGAAACTGTGGGGGGTGCTGCGGGTGTAATGGGTCCTTGCTTGGGGCCATCCAATCCTTGTACGCCCAAAGCGAGAGCTGTGTTCGGGTGCTCGGCTGTAAGTCAAAGGAGTTTCAGGTGGGGGTTGGCCTTCGCCAGGGCTGCGCCTTGTAACCAATCTTGTTTGTGGTTTTCATGGACAGGATATCGAGGCGTAGTCGGGGGGCTGCGGATCTCATCGCTGCTTTTTGCAGATGATGTGGTCCTGATGGCATCTTCCGTCTGTGACCTCCAACTCTCACTGGAGCGTTTCGCAGTTGAGTGTGAAGCGGCCGGATCAGCACCTCTAAATCTGAGGCCATGGTTCTCAGCAGGAAACCGATGGATTGCCTACTCCAGGTAGGGAATGTGTCCTTACCCCAAGTGAAGGAGTTCAAGTACCTCGGGGTCTTGTTCACGAGTTAGGGGAAGATGTAGTGTGAATTTGGTCGGAGCAGCGGGGGCGGTATTAAACTCGCTTTACCGCATCGTTGTGACGAAGAGAGCTGAGCCGGAAGGCAAAGCTCTTGATCTACCAGTCAGTCCTCGTTCCTACCCTCACCTATGATCATGAAGGATCGGTCATGACCAAAAGAACTAGGTTACGGGTACAAGCGGCCAAAATGGGTTTCCTCAGGAGAGTGGCTGGCGTCTCCCTTAGGGATAGGATGAGAAGCTCAGCCATTCGCGAGGAGCTCGGAGTAGAGCCGCTGCTCCTTTGCGTCGAAAGGAGCCAGTTGAGGTGGTTTGGGCATCTGGTGAGGATGCCCCCTGGGCGCCTCCCTAGGAAGCTGTCCCAGGCACGGCCAGCTGGAAAGAGGCCACGGGGAAGACCCAGGACAAGGTGGAGAGATTAGATCTCTGCACTGGCCTGGAAACGCCTTGGGATCCCCCAGTCAGAGCTGGCAGATGTGACCCGGAAAAGGGAAGTTTGGAGACCCCTGCTGGAGCTGCTGCCCCCGCGAACCGACGCCGGATAAGCGGCTGAAGATGGAAAGTGTTCGGTGGGAAAATATTTCTTTAGATAATTAAATACTTAAGTCATCTTTTTTCTCAAAGGTTGCAGGCTAATTGTCCATATATGGACAAATTATTTTCACCGAGTTATGAACAGCTTCAAATGTTCAGATGCCAGTGAGGGTCAAATCTCATTTGAATCAGACACACTGCCGTGTTTACTGCATTAATGAAGAAATAAAAAACTCAGTTAAGCAAAGAAATAATATACAGACATTCGGGTAAAGCTTCAGAGTGTTAACACACTTAAAATATTTTAAAGTAACACAATGCTGCAGCTCTCAGGAGGAAAACAAAACATAGTTCACACAAAGTTCGTTTTAATTTTATTACAAAAACAAGATTTTCAGAATCAACAGTACAACAAACCTACTCAAAATTAACAAAAAGATCCGAGGACGAGTGTGAGGGAGGCGACGTGTGTGTCTGCGCAAAGGTTTACAAACCATTACAAAAAAAAAAAAAAAAACTATCGGCCCCCAATCAATAAAAGAATATGTTCAATCTTATTACAACGGAACAAACACGAAGGAAAAGACGCGGGGAAGTGAAACAAAGACAACGGAGGTGTAGAGTCTCAGTTTTTATACAAAAACAGGATATTTTAAGTCTTTTCTTCATCAGAAACTAATCGGTCTCAAAAAAGGACAAAAAAAAAAAAAATGTTTGCAATAAAACCCCATTTGAACATGCGTGTGCACACACACACACACACACACACACACACCCTGATGGATTGATGGATGGAGAAGCAAAAAACAAAAAAACAAGTGAAGGGGGGTGGAGGGGCAAGCTAATGAATGGAGAGAGTGTGTGTGTGTGTGCCCGGCTGGTTCTTTCTTTTTCAACATGACACCTCACTGGCTGACAAGATGTGTGTGTGTGTGTGTGTGTGTGTGTGTGGGGGGTCTACGTCTATGTACACATGGGGGCAGTTTGTCTTCAGTGTACGAGTCACAAGAGCCAGTTGGGGTCGAGGGAGGGGTCGACTAGGTTTGGCAGTACGTGTGTGTGTGTGTGTGTGTGACAGTTTAGGACCGCCTCTTCTTCTTGCTGGGCGCGCTGCTGGGGGCCGAAGGTCGGACCTTCCTCTTCTTGTTGTTGCTGTTGTTGGCGGCGGGGGCGGCGGTGGTGTCGTCCTCCACGTACTGGCTCTCTCTGTCAGCTAGAAGAGGAGGAAAGAAAACACGTCCAACAATAAGACACCAATTTCCCACTGACGGGGGGGGGTTAAGGAGACGCGTCTACAAATAAGTAGAATTAAATCCTTCTTTGCTCAGGAGACAGGAAAGTGATTACAAATCTTTGAGTGGTTCTGATGACAAACCTCTCCTGGCCTCCTCCTCCAGCTCGTCCCAGTCTTTGCCGCTCTCCTCCTCGCTGCCCTCCGACTCGCCGCTGTAATCTGAGCGACAACGCAGGGGAGTGAAATCAGCCCCCGTGATCCATGAAAACGTGACGTCTTTAAGCTCAGTGACCAAACAAGAGAATCTCACTCGAGTCCTCCGTGTCCGAGTCGTAGTCCTCGTCACTGTCTTCCTCCTCCTGCTCCTCTTCGTCTGCAGACGGGTTGAAGGTTTCGTCCTCCATTTCCGACTCGGAGTCTTCCTCCGCACCGCTCCCCTGAGAGGAAGAGGAGAAGCCGACACACACACACACAAATCACCGACGGGTCACGCAGGAAGTAATGAAACGAGTAACGGCGCCCGCAGCCTCCACGGCAAGAACCCCTGCTGAACGCACCTCGCTCTCCGGGTCCAAGAAGGACCAGCCCCCCTGCTCGAAGAAGCCCTCCGGGTCATCGACGATGGTCTTCATGATCTTGGTCCAGTTGAGGGACTGGACGCCCTCCGTGTACTTGATGTCGCACGAGCTGAAAGGGGGGGGGAGGCGGAGGAGAGTTGAACGCACAGTCGAGGAGACGCAGGTGACCATTAAACACGAGTTTGGATGCTAAAACCCACTTGAGCCACTCCTTGATGGGGTCCAGGGAGTTGACGGGCACGGCGTTGATCATGGTGACCTTCTTGTTGTAGTCCTTGTAGACGATGACCACGTCGAAGTTCTTCAGGTGGAACTGCACGCGCTCAAAGTGGACCAGCTCCACCTCGTCCAGCGTCACCACGAACGGCGGCTGGGCGCCAAAAACAAAAAGGACACAAATAAATAAAAGGGAGATCTTTCGTACTGCAACAGTGGGGAGGTGCCGCCGCGCTCGCTCACCCATTCCGTGGTGTTGACCAGCGAGCCGGAGGTGGGCTGCAGCAGGCAGGTGCTCCTGTAGGGGGCGCCCTGGAACCTGCAAACAATCGAGACCGCCTGCTTATCGCACCGCTTCCACCTCGACCCGTCGTTACAGCGGCGCGTCCGGCCTCGACCCACTCACCCGAGGTCTCTGAAGGGAACCTCGAACTCCAGCTGCTCTTTGGGTCAGCGTCTCCACCTTCTCGATGAAGTTCTTGAAGGGCCGACTTGAGCTTGTGCCTCATCTCCCGCTCCATCTGCTCGGCGTACAGGTCGTCGCGGTCGTGCATGTGCTGGTGCTT